TTATCAAAGCAAATTTGTTCTTTTTCATCATCTACATGTAGTTCATCCCTAATATATTTCTTTACTTCTGTAAATGTAGGGTCATTATGAACGCTGGGGGAAAATATAAATATTCTTGCAAAAGAATTTCTATAAACATTCAAGATAAGGTTCTGGACTAAAACTGTTTTGCCTCCCGTCGATGAAGCAACTATAATGCTTCTAAATGGTAATTTTGGCACGTGCTCATATTTGGATTGTTTGAATTCATGTTCAGTTATGTTTATTGGTTCTATTATTGGGAAACCTGTCATAGTTGATATTAAAGAAATATAGAAATTATATTTAAAAATTAACTTGTAATTAATATTAAATGGAACATCGTTTTTTCATGATATGATGACGGCAAATATCAATGAAAAAATGGAACAGGTTTTCCATTGCTTCAATCAATAAGCATTGAAGATAATTAGTTTTGTGTCTTGCTCGCGTGTGCAATGAAAACCAAGTGCTGTGCCCCACCAATATTCATGAAATAATAAGATTAATTAGAATAATTTGTCTTATTATTTAATATGGATAGAAGTTATTCAGATTATATTGATATAATAGATGAAGTAGAGAATATAGAACAAGTAATAATAACTGACAATAAAATTAAGAAATGCTGTTATTATACGTTAGAATTAATAAAATTAGGAATACAATATATCAAAAATAAAAATGTAAATGTTAGTGCAAATTGGAAAAAAGAAAAACAAAAAGAATAAAACAGATACTACAGTTTCTTCAACAGATGAAGACAAAGAAGAAGAAATTGTTAAAGAAGCATCAGTTATTGAGTTTGCTTGCCCTATGTGTAAAAAGATGTTAGCAGTGAAGAACGAAATGGAAATTCAAAAGAAAGGAAATTGTAAATGTTCGTGGATTCCGACAAATTTCAAATTGAGTAAAAACGATAAGAAAATGAATATTGATAAAACTAAGGACAGTATAAATCTGGAAACGGATGTTCATAATATAACTTTTAAATGGGGAAGGCATGCATCGCCATCCGATAATGGTGATAACGAAGCACAGGAAACTATTAAACAAATGATGAAAATTTAGTATTTAAAGAGTAGATTTTACATTAAATCAAGTTTATAAAAACATAAATATTTAGATAAATAGTTATATAAATAAATGTATATATAAATGTCTGAAGTTGAGAATGATGCTATTGCTGAACTATCAAAGAAGATAATGACAGTTATTAAAAATGTTAAACTGTTGTACGAGATGATAAAAACTATTGACCAGAACAAAGGCAAACGAACCAAAAAATAGCAATGAAGAGAAGGAAAAGATTGATAAAATCTTTGAAAAGAAAGGGATAGGCAGACCCAGCGGTGATTATGACACGAAGCGTAAAAATATTGTGATATGTTAAATAAGGGACAAATCAAAAGTCCAAAAGAACAAACATTAGAATACTATAAACTAATTAAGGGTGATGATGGTAAATATGTAATTGTTGAAAATTAAAATATAAATAATTCTATTAATATGAATTTATTAGAATTATTTAGTGGAACTGGAAGTGTAGGAACCATAGCAAAGTCGCTTGGATTTAATGTAATATCATTAGACTTGAAAAATGCTGCCGAGTGAGTTAATCAGTGAAATCTTGGTGAGTGTAATGTAATTGTAGTTGTAAATAATAGGTATTTATTCAAAGGTATTTAAAGATATGGTATTATATAGTATTAGGTATATAGTATGGATAAACAACAATGCAGAAAATGTATGGTCAACAAGGATATTCATTTATTTGAAGGATATAAAACGTGCGATAAATGTAGAGCAACAAAAAGAAGACGTTATGATAAATATAAGGACGATATCAATAACAAAAAGAGAGAAGAACGAGCTAAAAATAGCACTTACTGAAAAGATTGCGGGCAAAATGTTTGCCTTGAAAATTGGGATGAACCTTTCAACTGGGTTCGTCATACAGGTTCTGAACTCAATGTATTATTCAAAGATTTGAACAAACGCTTCTACAATTCAAAATTATCACATGAGGAACGCGACCAAGTCAGAAAAGAGTATTACAACAAAAAACGAGAAATTTATAAACAATTGAATAAACAATATCCTAATAGCAAATGGAATGTAGAAATACCAGACCCAGAACCACTCAAGCACACACAAAAACAAGAAATCACGGAACAAAACAAACCAATTGAATTACATAAAACCAAACATTTAGGGCAGTAAAAAATGAATAAACAAAACGTGAGTCAGAATAACGAACCTTGTTTGAAAAACAACCTTGCCCATAATATGTCTACAAAATTTGTGATAAAATTTATTGTAAAATAATTTATCATAGTTTGTGGAATAATATTTTTGAAAATTTTGTAAAATTATATTTTGTACAGTTATATTTTTTAAAATTTGTATGTTTTAAGATTTATTTTTTAAAATTTTGTAAAATTTATGTTTTTCAAAATTTTGTAAAATTTATTTTTTAAAATTTATATTTTAAAATATGGATGAACTTACGAGGAAATTACCTGTTTTGAAATGTTGATTTTTGAAAATGTGCTGTTCTGGGGCGCTGTTTTAAAATGCTGCTAAAAGTGTGGGGGGTCCTGGGTTTTTTTCTAGAAAAAAGATGGGCAAGGTCAACTCTAACTGAAACCCCGGCACCCCCACCCCCAGGACAAGCCAACCCGCAACCAGCCATAAACCAACCCTAAATTATCCCTAAACCAACCCTAAATACACCCTAAACCAAACCCTAAACCGTAGACCTCTAAACCTAAACCAACCCTAAATCAACATAAGCCAACCCTAAACTAACCCTAAACCAACCCTAAACTAACCCCAAATACACCTTAAACCAATCCCTAAACAATAGACCCTAAACCTAAACCAACCCTAAACCAACCCTAAATACACCCTAAACCAAACCCTAAACCGTACACCTCTAAACCTAAACCAACCCTAAACCATCCCTGAATCAACATAAATCAACCTAAATCAGCCCTGAACCAACCCTAAACTAACCCTAAATACACCCTAAATACACCCTATATACACCCTAAATATACCCTCAACCAATTCTAACCCACAACCCAACCACAGGACCACAACCACGGGGGGGGGGGTACTTGTCTGACCCATGACCATTGGGGGGGGAGGGGCCTCACCCCAAAAAACGTGCCCCAAGAGAATTTGGCGGTATTTGCAGTACTTTGGGTGATGCCCACCCCCCAACATTTGAGCATTTAACTATCCCCACATTTGCTTGACTGTATCCGGCCAGAAGCGCTTTGAAGGACCCAAGGTTCAACATTCAAGATTCCTAGGACTCTAGGTCCTGAATCTTGAATCCAGTATGGGGCCGCCAAAAGGCTTGAAAGCGCTGTCATCCAAATAGCTAGATTCAAGATCTAGAGTCTTGGGAATCTTGAATCTTGGATCCAGAAGTGCTTCAAAGCGCTTGAAAGCCATTTGGGGGGCCATACTGATACTGGGTTCAAGATGCAAGATCTAGAGTGCTGGGAGTCTTGAATCTAGAATGGTAGACCCAAAAGGTGCTCTCAAAGCGTCTGCTTTCGGTCATTGATGTTTGCGCTTTATTTTCCTTTCAGGCTGTGCGCGGTATCTACTGCTGATAGTTCAGCATATGGACATTGGAGAAGTAGTTCGTTAAATAATGACTGAAAGAACCCACACTAACCCTTGATTGGGCAAACACACACCAGTGTTGGGTGTGCTTCTTAGCAGGTTTTGCGAACAACATTTTATGTTCAGAGAGTTTAGTTGTTTTACCAGACAGGGTGGCGTCAGTCAAGGCATTTAAGATGTGAGAGGATGCTTTGATATTGGCCAAGGTTTGTGAGCTGACAGGCGAAGATGAGATATGGAAGATGCGTAGCAGATGTTTTTGTGTTGGGCGAAGCAGTTGTTTGATTTTTGTTGGTACATTTGCGCCGGTACTCTCACAGAGATGTTTCACACCCAATTCCGCGAGGGCAACATTAGTGATGAGGACAAAAAACAAACTTAGGATGGAAACGTGTTTACACTGAATCTGAGAGAACATCACGCTTTCTATTTGAATACAGACGCCTTGTTGACAGACAAAGTTGAACGTATCAGAGATGTATGTGTGAAAGATTGTGGTCTAGCCCTGTGTAGTATGACGCGTTACATAACTTGGCCTCAAATTTGTACCAAATTGTGCTTCTGATGTTATGTTTGAATTCACTTGTTTTGAAATAGACTTAGTTCATGACAAGCGCATGTATGAAATCGGAGAAAAAAGATTGATAAAGAGGAGGAATGCCACAGACATATTTCAGGAAAGAAAAAGCGAATACAATGAATCATTTGCGCAAGCCTGCGATTATTGTGCAATGAGCCCATTTCTGGTAACATGCATCTCGGTGCAATGTGGTGGTTCCCACCGTTGCCGTAGCGGGAACCCTTGACACTCACTGTCAGCATGATCGACCAGTGGCTTTTGCGCTGGAAGTTGGCAGATCCATCAAATTCAAAACCCACTTTAGCTCATGGAAAGGGCCTTGATTTTTCCAACCGTATTAAAGGCGTTTTGTGTGTTGCAACCTCCACTTAAAAATTGAACGAGACCCTCACGAGTGATCTAAGATGAGGCCCACTAGTCAACCGGGAAGATCAGCCCAAGTGTGACATGCGCGCGTCAGATTGCTATAGTTTTAGCAAGCTTGGCCGTGACGGCTGGTTCGGCCCAAGCACTTTTGCAAGTACCTGAAGTCTGCTTTCGCCTGAGATATCTCAGCCTATTTTGTCACGGCTTCTGCATCCTCAGGGTCTCCCTGTCGACCAACCCGCGGAATAGTGAGCCAGCAAGGTTCACCCTGCATGAGTTTTGAGCCAACCAGAAACGCTTTCATTCCAAAGGGGCCGATGCGACCTTTTGGCCAATGAGGCAACACCTGTGGCAGCAATTGGGTAAGCGTAGTTTGCCTCGTGAAGGTCCTGAACCTTCCATCCAATTGCTCAAGCAATGGAGAGCGCGCTAAGCGGAGACCTGGCGGGTCTGAACTATGCGCTGGGGGCCTTTCAGCAGCGTGCTCTTTGGCAAGATGCGCTACACCTGCTTCACGCCATGCACAGCAGGAAGCGGCAGATCATCAAGGGAGTTGACGGGGTTGAAAATCGTGGCTTTCCAACAAGTTGGCACAGATTTGTTTTGGCAGGCGCGATGATTGCTTGAATGGCAGAAACCCCAAGACCTGTGAGATCTGGAGAGTGTGAATGTGGTTGCAGGCCGAACAGGAAGCCTGAAGGGCTGAAGTGGGAACCCTCGAAATGGAGGTGTTGCAGTTTCCATCTTTTGGCAAAATGAGGCAGGGGATTCCTTGCAATTGGGGCGCACAGCCGCAAGTTGGAGAACGCATCGCAAGGTGGTTGGGAGAGGCCCTTTGCATACCTGTCCTGAGTGGGAGTGGCAGGCATTCAGAGCTTGGTGGTCTTTGTGCTGGGCGCAGGTAGAAATAGGCTTTCGCTGAAACATGTTCATCTGATTGCATACTCCTTGAACTCCCGCCGTGTTGTGTCGGGGACACTCAAAACTGGCCAGCCCGAAAAAGAAATGGTGGGGCACCTACTGGAGCAAAACAAAGCTATGCTACGAAAATAACTGTCAACAACGAACAAATACTCCTAACTGCGAAACAAAGCATTTAATAGCGCAACGCGTGCACTTCTAATAGCGGAAAACACGCGCCTCTGGCAGGTAGCGTACGACAGATGCATTGCAAGCATTCTTCCTCAAATCACCTTGAAACAGTTTTCTCTCCAAGCGCTCAAAAGATACGCACGGGCCTTTCAGAACATCACATCGCACACCGAATAGAAACCCCGTTCCGTTTTTGCCCTCGAAAGCATTAGGAGGGAAGGGTTTTTGCAAAAAGGGGTTGCTCTGCTTGCGTAGCCTTGCCCCGCTCAGCCTAGCTCTGCGCAGCCCAATTTTGCGCAGCCCGTCTCTTCACAGCCCGGCTCGGCGCAGCCTTGCTCTACACAGCCTCGCCCTGCGGCCTTGCTATTCTCAGTCCAGATCCAAGCTTCCCGGATCGCCCTCGCTGTGGCGCAGTTACTCAATTGCATGTCGAGTTGCTCTCGCTGTCGCGCCCCAGGCTCTTTTTTTTTTTCTGAAAGTTGTGTCGTGGCCAGCAGCCAACGCCCATGCTCGGTTTCTGCGACCCCGGGCCGACTTTCAGTACGAATGCAGCGCGCAAAGTGCACTGCCGCACCTGGCTCGGAAGTAGCGCGGAAGTAGCGCGCGGAGCGCGCCCTCGAAAGCTGAAGGCTTTTACTGACAGCCTGTGTCATCCCACGCAAGAGTTTCACAAAAGCCAGCGAGCTGAAACGCAAGAAAGCGGCTGCGCTACCGCCTCTCGCAACACATGTCTTTCAGGCAACCGCTCTGGGGATAACCAGGGTCTAGTTTTCCCCTTGTTTCACGCATCGGCCGCGGAACCCTACGGCGCCCGACAGGATTGTGGAGCGGGATGCCAAGAGCTTCGGTGTCGCGCCCTGGCGCGCGAAAAGCCCACCCCTTGGCCTGTGGTTGGTTTCAGGGAAAGCAAAAGGACACCAATCAGTTCGGCGGTTCCTGTACTTGTCTTTTTTGTCTACGTGTGTCAGTCAGTGGCTTCCTCTTGAATACGCCCCTACTGCTGGGTGCCAGTGTGGGCGTTGCCTGCTGGCTTTGTAAAGGGTCCTGCAATAGAAACACAAACTGAATTTGGGGCCCCCTGCTCGCACTCGGATGGTTTTCAGCGTGCAACAACAACCATGGCACATAAACAGCAATATTTAAAGTTGTCTTCTTCTTTTCGCGCCATCCAAACGGGCCGCACGCTTTCGCTCGCGCACGCAACGACACATCTTCGTATTTACCATGTGGCTTGCCATGTGGCCCATTTTTGTGCAGTTCCGGAATTAGGAAAGAGCGCCACCCAGCAACCAGGGCCCTGCGGCTGTCCTTCCTGGAAGGGCTGGTGGTCTTTCCACAAGCGCTTTTTCACTACTCACGTTTTTGTTTGCAGGGTCTCCGCTTTAGGCTGCGCTTGCCAGGGCAACCGACTGTGCCTATTGTTTGGCTGGCGCGGCTACCAATCCTGAGTTCGGAAGATACCAAGGTTCCGCTGAACAGATCCAAGGACGGAGTTCCAATTCCTGCCACTCAAACCCTACAGTCTACAGTCGGTGAAACCTTCATCGACGTCATCATCAGCACCTCAGGAAATGATCCAGATTGGGAGGTTCCTAAGAAGATCAAAGGAAGCAAGGAAGCAAAATCTTGTGACAAGGAAGAATCCTATATTTAGACAGCGGCCTAGATCAACTCACACCCGGTGAGTCCTAACCAGCGAGACAAGGGTGAGCGCAATAGAATCCACGTGCATCGCACAGGACTGCCGTTCCTATCAGTGGGAGTAAACCACTATGAATGCAACGCTACGAAGTCGTACAATGCGGTGGAAACACGATCCGATTCCGCTAGGGGGCTGAAACACTGAACAGTTTGACGAAGTTCGGTCTTTGCCGAGTGAATGCGCCACCATGGAATCTACGACTCAAGCGCTACGAGCCGATGAGGCAGGTTGCGTTCAGAGGATTTCCGGCTTCGACGTCGCTACATCAGGCAATCAATGCCACGAAGGAAAATCCCGGGTAAGCATGGAGGCAGATACAAGAGGACGCCTTGAAGGAGAAGTGGAATCGCTTAGAGAGAGATTGCGATCTGATGAGATCAACATGCTCACCAGGATGAAAGGCGCCGAGACGTATCATAGCAGCGTGGTGTCGAACAAGGATGCGCAAATACAAGCTTTGAGATCGCAAGTGGAAGGAATATCTGAATCGAGATCCAGAGAGGGTTGGTTGCAGACTGCAAGGATATCGGCTAAGAACGAAGTTGACGCTGCAAAGCTGGCCGTGGACAGAGAAGCTTGTGAACAGATATTGGACAACGAGAACCGGGCCAGATCCGAGATCGAAGAGGTCAGGCGGCAGCTGCATCGTGAGGAGGCATCATCCTTGAAGCTAAAGGAGGAGGTTGCGAGGGCAAAGAAGAGTGGCGCTAGAGATGGCCGAGCAACAGGCGGAGATGCTGCGGAGAAATCTGGGAGAGCACGTCCCAAAAATCAGTTTAGCTCTCTCCAACATCAGTTGACTTCGATGAGGGATCTCCAACTGAAGGAAGCTGGAGCGAAGGAAGCCTTCATGAAAGCCAAGAAAGCGGAAGCAATTATTCAGCAAGGAGGAGAACAATGAAGACCTCCAGAATACATGTCAGTGTCTTAGGAACGAACGGAATGAGTTGCAGACCGAGTTGGGGGATGTGAACGAAAGGCGCGACGAGGTTTTGAAGGAGCATCAAGGGGACAGCCCCAAGTTTGGAGGAACTATGATTCCTCCACCTGGGATCGCTCCTAGATCACGAAGCGGATCACCTTTGCCTTCAACGACGCCAGTTCTTCCTACGAGCTCCGCGGACGTGGTTACGGGCACGAAATCTCCAGGAAAGAAGTTGCATTCATCTACGTACCATCGTGGCCGAAGATTGATGAATTGGATAGGCGGAAGGGGAAGCTTCCATCCAATGTACTTGCTGCGTGTGGTGACCCGGATCATGAAGCATGGTCAACGTGGTTGCCCCAGGCCTCCAGCCAGAGCGCAAACTCGCAGATGCGGCGGATCGAGATTCGTTGGGATTGACCAGCCTGGAAAAGATGAAGAAGTCTGCTCACGGAAGATGAAATGGCTCACGAAGCAATAGTTGGCTCCGGAGTGGATCGGGCAGACAAAGACATTGAGGACCGTTCGACAGCTTCAATGCCCGCCGAAGACTGTTTGACGGCTTCGGTGGATGCAACTAAAGCTGCCCCTGGGGAAGAACCTGAGGATGTGACGGAGACGGATGTGATGCAGAAGAATTGAGATAGTAGAAGCCGGAAGAGCTGTGAAGAGGAAGAGCAGCACGTTGAAAAGCGAAGCAAGCTCGTTGGAACACATGATCGCCCGCAGGTGCGCGAATCCTTCTTGCGATGCATGCGGGAGAGCGAAGATGAGGCACTTCAAGACGAAGAAAGGGGCCTTCAACAAGAAGCTCAAGCGCGGGGGGGCGGGGGAGAATTCGGTATCGAGACTGATACCAACGTGCTTGTTGTCCAAGACGTGTACACCGGGATGAGAATGGCCATGGCCTATCCCAGTTTGTGAACGCGTGTCAAGCGCTGGGGATTGTGTACGGCCATTCGCTGCCGGGAAGACCCAAGAACAATTCTGGCGGAGAGAGACAATCTCCACGTGACCGACCAGGTGAGCACATGTTTGCTCGCCGCAGGGCTCCCTCCATGCTGCTGGTCATTTACTCTTACATCTACATGTCATTTGCTGGCCGCAACCGTTGACGGAGAAAGCGCATGGCACAATATGCATGGTGACTTCGAGGGACCGCAGCTCCCGCTCAGAGAGCACGTTCACTTGCGACCATTGCCGTCGAGGGATGACACGCGCAAGTTTGCACCAAAATCAGTGACAGGTGTATTTGCTGTGTATGACTCGAGAGTGGTACGCGGTGGAGTGGCAAGCTGCTTGTGTGGGAACTCGATGCGGAGTTGACCATGGGTTGCAAAACTGTGCCAATGAGCTTGAGAAGGCCTCTCAGAGTGGACAAAGTGGTAGTTGTTTCGGTATTAGCGCTCCCGCTCAAATGCACATATGAAACGGTGAGCGGAAGTCTTGAGGGAATGATTGACGCATCTTGGGAAAAGGAAAGCCGTGAGGCGCCACAAGACAGTTCCGGAAACGATGACGATGATGGAGGCGGAGGCGATGACGACCCGGCCGGGGATGATCCCAGCGCGGGGAGTGGAAAGACCAGAGACAAAACGAAGGAAATCCACGAACGACTTAGAATCGATGACAAAGTCGGGGACATAGACGACACCGCGTCGGCGTGACCCAAGGACCCAACGACTTCTTCCAAAAAACAAGCAGTAACCTCCTGAGAGCAATACACTTTTGCACAAAGGGGCAAAGGGCGAAGCCCCAATGCCCACTAGACTGGAACCCGGGTATCACCGATGGAGTCGGCGAGACAAGAAGGCAATCGTGTTTTAGACAACAAATGCGAAGAGAGGGCCCGAAAGATGTTGTCGGGCGCAAATGGTAATCAGCGAGACTGCTGAAGTGCTCGAGTGAATCATCATCGATCCTGCAAGCACGGAGGATTCGTACAGAACTGTCATCAAGAGCGGCGAAGTGATACCTACACTTGGTACAGGATGTCAGGAAATGAGCCGGTCAGACTTCCAGACGAATGTGATCATGTGAAAAGGGGCAAGCCTGGAGACGGGGTCATATATGTGGACGACGAAGGCAGAAAAGTAAAATTTGACGTACAAGGAAAGCCGTACGAAGTTGGGATCGATGGAAGAAGGGCGTGCGAATCCTTCAGGCCAACGAACATATCACCGGAGGAATGGAAGATGTCTCACACGGACCGCATGCTTTGGGAGTATGTGACCGCTGAAGCTGAGCGGGATATTGCTTAAGAACATGAGACGCTTCGAAGGTTGCAGGGCTGCTGCCAAGGTCACGAAACATAGTGTCTGCCATATCCTGACCATTGACTTGGTTTCCCAGCAGGACAACCCGATACTTGAACTTGCGTCTCGGATCATCCGCAGGCAATTGCTCGTTCTCCTCCACCATTACGCCATGGACTCTGGCAAAATGAACAAGCTCTTCAAAACGGCGCACGTCAGCTCGCACATCGTCCACCTTACGTGTCGAAAACCTTTTGTTTGCGCAGACCTGTCCATTCCTTGTTGATAGCTTCCGTGGCCCTCGGGTTGGAGAACATGTCCTTCTTCCCCGGTATTCTTTCTTCCAGAAGTCCTCTGTGTGTGGAGCTGCCTGGTGTACACGGAATCCTGGAAACACCGTCGATTCTCATCCTCTATTGCGTTGGCCTCAGCCAGGCACCAGTTCCGTCAAGATTCTGTCAAACTCGCGCAGACTCAGCACGACCATTGGTCTTCGCTTCTTGGACAGTTTGCGCCGCCCCAGACCGAACGTCGAACCCATGCTCCTGTTCCCCACTTTTCTTCGAGAACTCGAAAACCAACTTCTTCTAGAATCCTTCTATCCCTTGCGCTGTCACTTCGTTGTATGTCTTCAGGACCGATTTGCGCAGCTTCTTGGCGTCCTTTGCGCAAGCCTTGGCCCGCGGCAGCATCCTCGTCATCTTTGGATTTCTTCGCCGCCTTTGCCTTGGCCTGGTTCTCTGCCTTGAAGATGCGTCGGCGGACTTCCCCGAATTCATGGAAGGCTGGGAAGTACAAGTTGCTGATGCAACCCAGGCTTACATCCAGGCTTACTTTCAAAGACCTGCCTTGCGGGTGGAACTCCCAAGGGAGGGTTGGCCAGAAGATGGCTGTGAGCGCGGGATGGCCTCAAGATGGCGGTTGCAATCATGTCAAGGGAGCTGCTGTCACTGGTCACGGAGTGAACCGG